ACACAAACGCATTGCTTTGCTTTAGAAGGCCTTTATTAACCCCCGGAGCCGTGTGGACTACGTTTATGATGGATGGATGGATGTGGATGGAAGCACTTTCTTCACCTCATACTCGTGAACTCTGTTCACTGCCATTATAAAGCTCTGATGCGTCATGATATTTATTAAAATATCTCTGATTGTGTTCATCAGAAAGAAGAAAGTCATATATACCTAGGATGGCTTGAGGGTGAGTAAAGCTTGAGCTAATTTTCATTTGAAAGTCAACTAATTATTTAAGAAGAAACATTGACATATGGGGAAGATGCAATAAAAACATTTCTATTGTATACAGTTGTATAGTTGTTTCACCCAAAAATAAAAATTCTGTCATTTACTCACCCTCATGTTGTTCCAAAACTATAAATTTCTTTGCTCTGCTGAATGCTTCCACTGTTGTATTTTTATTTTTATTTTTTCCAACTATGGAAGTCAATGGTGCCCCACAACTGTTGGGTTACAAACATTTTTCCAGCTATATTCCTTTGTGTTCAGCAGTAAATTATGACAGAATTTCATTTTTTGGGTCAACTATCCCTTTACAATGAAGTCTTCTCAAACGCAAATCTTGAAATGAGTTGTGCCATTATTTTCGTTATTGTTGTTATATATTTTTGGGGTATTTTATTTAGATATTTTTTATTTTTATTTTTTTGCTGTTTTTATTCTAGGTATGGCAGAGGAGACAAATGCTGTACGATGGATAATAAGCCTAGAGGGTCATGTTATTTGTGAGTGTGTCCAGTCATCATTTTTGACTGCACTTGTAACACTCTTTGCTGTGTACTACGTCTTCAACCTGCAGTATCAAGAGGAGGCTTGTTGCACATTGGAGTTTCTTCAAAGGTGTGACACACAGAATCATCTTCATAAGAATTTAGACACATGATTCTTGCATACAATGGTAATTTGTTAAATAACTGTCTTTAGACGATTCGTTGGAATAAACCCAGAAAGAGGCTCAAAGACCTGCAGAGGCAAGGTGGTCTCGAAGAAGACGGGCAAGGTGGTGAATAAAAAGCCTTCAACAGTTAATCCAAAGGTTGCCTCTCTACTGCGAAATCTTGTGGATTTCGAATGGGATTTCGTCTAGGTAAGTAAATTTGCACATACACACCTATTTCTGTACCTGCTTCCCATTAAAGTTATTTTACCAGCTTTTTTGTAGAACATGTAAAAAATTTACAATATGCTACTGAAAGCTCATTTCATTTTAATTTCAGATGTGCTTTACAATGTATTACTAAAGTGTGTGTCTTTCCAAACCCGTAAGACTTGTTCATCTTCAGAACTCAATTGAAGATCTTTTTTAATGAAATCTTTCTGTCTACACCGCCTACACAACTAGGACTTCCAAGCCCCAGAAAGGTAGTAAAGACATCAAGTAATCCATGTGACTCCAGGGGTTTAACTTCAGTTTAATGAAGAAATGCAAGTGCTTTGTGTGCACTTGCACCATTAGCACCATGACACATGCGTGTTAAATATACTTTGTGTGAATGGGCTTTTTTGCTTCATAAAATTGAGGTTAAACCCCTGGAGTCACATGGATTACTTGATGTCTTTACTACCTTTCTGGGGCTTGAAAGTTCTAGTTGTGTAGGCTGTCAGTGGAGTGACAGAAAGTTCTCAGATTTCATTAAAAGATCTTCATTTGTGTTTTAATGATAAACGAAGGTCTTACGGGTTTGGAACAACATGAGGGTGAGTAATTAATGATAGAATTTTCATTTTTGGGTGAACTAACACTTTAAATTTACCCGAGTTAAAATAAGGTTTAGAAAGAACAATAATCAGAGTTATGGACAGTAAAGCCCTTTTTTGTGACAAGCATCATTGTACCATGCTGCTGGATATAAAAAAGCCTGCCGCCTCTTCAAGCTCAAAATGTCTCCCCATTTACTCTCTCCTTAAAGGGTTAGTTCACCCAAAAAGGCCATTTCTGTCATTTATTACTCACCCTTGTGTCGTTCCACACCCGTAAGAACTTCGTTAATCTTCTAAACAAAAATTTATATCTTTTTGATGAAGTCTGAGAGGTTTCTGTCTCCATAGAGATCCAATGCAACTACCACTCCAAGGTCCAGAAAGGTAGGAAAAAGACATCATTAAAGTACTTCATGTGACTCCAGTGGCTTAAACTTAATTTTATGAAGTGACGTGACTGCTTTTTTTGTGCAAAAAAACCCATAATTTACTACTTTATTTACAAAATGATATTATCCAAAGCGTGTTCACGCAACAATTCCAGCTCATGAACACAAAACGCATGCGTCGTGATGCTCTCGTGAAAACTCACATGTGGATTGAGTTGACGCGCAAGTCTGAACATAACAACGTGAAGCTCTTGTGAACGTGCGTTGCAGATCAATATTTTTGTAAGTAAAGTGGTAAATTATGTTTTTTGCACAAACAAAGCACTCACATGGCTTCATACAATTGAGTTTATGCCACTGGAGTCACATGGAGTACTTTAATGATCTATTTTTCCTACCTTTCTGGACTTTGGAGTGGTAGTTGCGTTGGATCTCTATGGAGAGACAGAAACCTCTCAGACTTCATCAAAAATATCTTAATTTTTAGTTCAGAAAATGAATGAAGGTCTTACGGATGTGGAACGACATGAGGGTGAGTAATGACAGAATTTTCATTTTTGGGTGAACTAACCCATTAAAGTTAATCTAAATTCTTCATGATCATTATTTTTGCTAGTGTAGCATTATGTTGCTTTTTGTCATTCTTTTTTGACACTTTATTTACAAAAGTCTTCCCCCCATTTTTTATCTTTCAGACTACACCTGCATCAGTTTGAAGATTCTGGAATGTTTTTGGCCTGTTCCTGTTCCAATTACTTGCCAGGTTTTGACTTGGATTGACTATTAAACTAAAATCAACTTCAAAGGTTTTCACATTGTTTACTATTTTTTAAATGCTGTTTTTAGGGAAACACAAAAAGAATGATTATTCTATTGGTTCAGTTATGATTTGCTTTTTTGTTAAAGTATTCCGATTATTTGTCACTAAAATGTGTCAATAAATTTTGTGCTATAAGTAGTACCCTCTTGATCCATTTTTTTTCTTGAAAATATTATAAATTAAATATTACAATACCAGTTTATTTGTGCAAGTATATAT